CCTTAATACCAGTTGGTAGGACAGCATCACCAGTAACAAGTTCCTGGAATACAGCCAGCCACCCTTCTCCCATACCCTACAGCCAAACTCAGCCGCTGAATTCCAGCTCCACAGGGTACCTGAACATGTAGGCACAAAAAAACGTATGGTAGCCAAATGCTCTGAATTGTGAACTGAAGAAAGGTGACCACAAGCTAAAGAAACACTATGGAGATTAGCCAAAGAAGAACTTTGAGCCACAACTGTTATACATCAGCTGTTGGAAAGAAACTGGAATAGACATTTTGAGCTTTATGCAACATGGTAATAAGAAATGGCAACTTTGGGGCTGAAGTTTAGGCAACGCTAAAGGGCTGATAAGAGCCTGTGTTCGTTTCCATTTCCCCATTTTCACACCAGAGCACCCACACATTTTAATAGATCACAAACACTTTCACCTATCTGGTCTCGTTGTTTCATTCTACACAGAAACACCTCCCTTACTCGTCCAGGTATAACAAAATGAAACATTAATTGCAGGCAAGGACTCTAGTCATACCACCTAAATCAACTAGCTCAGACATATCACTGAAAAACAGGAGCATTTGCTTGAGACCCATGAAGTGAACCAGAAAATTCCAATTATCTCTTCTGCACGGTCTGACTTTATGTGTACTTCCAATGTGAATTACCAAACCTGTAATTTGTCAGTATTAAACTTAAATTATTAATATGTGCATATGGGAGACTATATTCCACACAAAACTTTCATCACTACTGATAAAATCCTTGATAATTATCCAAGAACTTTCAAAAACATGATGATTTTGGGGCTGTGATTATGGCTTAGAAGTAAAGCCCTTGCCTAAAATGTGTGAGGCACTAGGTTTGGATTCTCAGCGCCAAATAAAAATAAATTAATAAAATAAAGGTCCACAACAACTAAAAATTATATATATTTTAAAGTAATTAAAATGAAAGTTTCTAGTTAGAGGCAGGATGACCATCTGTCAAATATAGATCCCTGCATTGGATTAGGGTAGGGAAAATGAACTGATTACTTTTCCAGTCTCTTCCAACAATTATTACTAATACTACATAGCCAGCCATTGAATCTTATGTACAGAATTTTCAAGAAACAAAATATGATCACATGAACCATTATGATGGATACATAAATAGCCCCAAATGAATGTAAAACATTTAATTTTTAAAATATCAAATAAAAATAACTTCCTGATTTTCATATTGCAAAGTTTTTTCAATTATATTATTTATAACTTACCATTTCTAGAAGTTGAAATTTTAAGATAACAGGATATACAAATTGTATTATATTAAATGTGCAAGAAATTTACCATTATCCATATGAATGATGAGATAGAAGTTATTTGTACACGGTCAAATGACAAACAGGGTTCAAATTACTTTTGAAATATATGGTGAGATTTCACGAGGCTCTTTTTTGGTGTTATTCTAAACTCTTCACATCTATTGTCTATTTTACTCCTCACAACTCTATAATGAAGGTTATGAGGCTCAGAGGGATTTAGCAACTTTTTCAAGGTCATTCAGCTAACAAGCAGCAGAGCAAAGATTTAAACCTATCTTGGTGGCTTTCTGGCTCCGGAGCCCAGAGGCTCAACACTCATGACAAGGCTTCCTTTCCCTCCCATGTTTCCTTCCTTGTGGGCATCACTGAAATCACTTCTGTTGCTGGAGTATACACTCTGAATATGGGAGGAGGTTGTCTGAAACCTTCTTGGGAGACTAAGGAGAATTAATTGGAGTTTTAAAATGTGAGATAAACAAAGTTGATAGGGTGCTGAGAAAATAGGTATATGTGAGCTGCTACCATTGTAAGTGGGGTTTAATATTTCCAAAGCTCTCTGAGAATATGGAATGAGAGCTATAAAACTTTTCTTGCCCTTTGACTCACTAATTTCAGTCTTTGGAATATACCCCAAGGAAATAACAAAAAGAGAAAAGGTAATTTGTTTGAGATGTTCATTCAGGGGCTATTTGTATTAGTGGAAAACTGGAGATAACTCAAATTCCTAGCAATAAGACAATGACAAGGTAGAAAAAGAAAAAGAAAAGAAGAAACTATAATTCCCCCAAATAGCAGGTATAGACTACATTCACATGTGGACATATATGTATGGGATAACCTTATGTTTAAAAGTAGAATTATTGGGCTTGGGATGTGGCTCAAGCGGTAGCGCGCTGGCCTGGCATGCGTGCTGCCCGGGTTCGATCCTCAGCACCACATACAAAGATGTTGTGTCCGCCGAAAACTAAAAAACAGATATTAAAAAAATTCTCTCTCTCTCTTTAAAAAAAAAATTAAAGTAGAATTATTATAAGGATAACCCTGTAAATCCAAGTAAAATAGTATGTGAATTAATAATAACATGAGAATCATGAAATTCTAAAGCTTATCCTCCTTTTCATTGTTGAAACCCTAACACCAGAAGAGTACCTGGCATATAGACTCAAAAATTTTCTAAATGAAAACAGTCTATATATTCAGATATTACTATAACAAGGAAGTCAGCTGCCATCACTTGCATTTGAAAAAAAGCAAAGATTTGGCAAGTCTTATGATGGAAAGAGGAGAAGAATGTAGGAATGCGGTGACTTGAGGTTATTGGCTTGGAGAAGTTGAAGTCCAGTTAAGAGATGGACTTTCAACCCATATAGACCCACTGTGCAGCAATTAGGCTAAATTGTCTTCCCTTATTTGGAAAAATTAGCCAGATTTTGTTCTCTCCCATGAATCATTTCTGGATTTTGTTTTCTGCTTTTCTTCTTCACCACTCCTATTTTTAATTATTTAATTTTTTTTAGTTGTAGATGGACACAATACCTTCATTTTATTTATTTATGTGGTGCTGAGGATAGAATCCAGCGCCCCATGCATGTGAGGAAAATGCTCTAATATTGAGTCACACAGCCTATTGGATCTGCAATACAAAGACTCATTCACCTTGACTATGTCACCTGCCTGAACACAATCCACCTGCCCTGACCATTAAGGCTTTTTTCAAGAAGTAAAAATGCAGTAGGGTTTTTAAGTCAAGAGAGGAAATTGTAGAGGTTTGAAGACAAACATGCTACTGTAGGCACACAGGATAAATGCAGAAGACAAAAACATACATTTGGAACAAAAAAATACTCAAATAGGATTGAATCTAAGAAATAAATTGCTTGAGGATAAGCAACAAATACAAAAGTTTTTTAAACTCTTAGGGAAAATGTTTGTTCAAATATAAATATAAAATTTATGTTTTACACTTGCCTTATATCTTTAAAAGTATTTTAGGGTCTTATTTAATTATCACATAGAGTAGTAGATAATATAGTTGAAAGATGAGGAAACTGAGAGAAGTGCTCTCCAATGCAGCCATGCAGTTGCTGGTCATTAGCCAACCTGGGACTTAGCTGGAGCTCTCACTCCTGATAGATCTAAACATTTATACTTCTCAAGAATGGTACAAAACCCTGTGCAAACCTTCTCTTTGCATCATTCAGAACTGATGGATCCCTGTCTTATAAGCATAAATCCACTGAGAGACATTCAGGAAACAAACTTAACATGAATGGAATCCAAAATGAGAACTAAATAATAACAGGATCCCTATAATGAAGAAGGCAGAGCAAAGACAAGATTTCCATCTGTGTATAAACTAAACTATTTGGGGGATGATATGGGTGTGTGGTTGTTATGTTTGAAAAGCCACAAACTCCAAATATTTTTATCTAAATCCTTGGAAGCAATATTCTCAGGATTCTGTCATTTATGACACAAAATAAATTTTTTGATTTATCTATACATTCTACGGAAATATTTTTATGGCAAATGAGTTGACCTACATTTATGTACATTTCTAAAAGTCCTTTTCTTCTCACCTAGTTCTATCTGATGGGGCCAGTTATTGCTTCAAAGAGCAGATCAAATACCACCTCTTTCAAGAAGCCCCTTCAGAGCCCCATTCTTCATGCCTATGACCCCAACCCAAGTGCCTCATACACTGTATCAATTTATTAAATTGGTAAAAAAAAATCATCTGAGGTCCTATAATTCTCTATGAGTTTATAATCTTTTACTGTTCCAATTCCACCATAGAAATAACCACAATCAAGGACTCCTTTCATTTAAATATCTTCTAATATCATCATATTTTATGTTGACCTTCTGTACTGGAACATTAGTCATTAGCACTAGCAAAAAGCAAACCCATATCCAGAGGTTAAGTTACAAAGTGTTTTTAATCAAATAGGACTATGGCAGTCAACAAACTTAAGCAAACTAATTTGAGGTTTGCCTTACTACAAATCATATAAATATTCAACCAGATTCTATTCAATATGAAGGCAAGAGCTTCAGACCAGATCTTCAGTTATTTGAAAAGTCTCGGTTTTAAGATAAGCTGACAAATAAACTACTAGACAAGGAGTTAAAATTTCAGAACAAAAAGTACACCACTTTTGCCAAGGTCAACTGCTCTTCAGGGGCAAAAAATAATGTTCTTTTTATTAGCAATTTGGGATAACAATTAAATAACATTCATTTTTATTGAGGTTTTTATATAAGAACTGAGAAAACAATTCTTTATTATAGTGATAAAAATACAAGAGAAAACGCTGAGTTTCTGAAACACAGTAATCTTCCTGTCTTCTCTTGTCTTCCTTTGGGCCATGTGTGGTAGTGTGGTGATCCTCAATTAAAAAGCTTGCTTATAAGGAAGATAAAGACCAAGGAATAACAAGAATACTGCTGAGGCTTATAATGAAAAGCAAGCTTTAAAAAAAAAAAGACAAAGTAATTATTTTCAATTATATTACATCTGATGAAATATAAAAAACCTCCTATTTCATTCTAGATAACATGAAAAAAGCTCTTTGATCCATGAATAGGCTAATCGAACAGCTATTCACATAATTCCTGTCTTTTCAGGGAGAGCAGCAATCAGTGATCAAAAAGGAAAGTACAAGTCATGCAAGACACGAAATCTTACTTTTTCATCATCTTCAGTAAATGGAGCACCTTCAGGAATCTTATTTATAGCCTGGGCCACACCAATAATCTCACCATCACTGCTTCGGATGGGCATGCACAATAGTGATTTTGTCTTATATCCCGTTAGCTTGTCAATTTCATCATTGAATCTTCGATCCTACAAATAAGACAGAGAAAACATAAGCTGCAAAGTTATTGTTATTAGGGAACAGGAATAATTCTGTATACAATAGTCTATCACTAGGAATTTTCTCCTGGGATTTTTTTTTTTTTTTAAGTTGTAGATGGACACAATACCTTCATTTTATTTGTTTATTTTTACGTGATGCTGGGGATTGAACCCAGTGCCTCACACATTCTAGGCAAGCGTTCTACCACTGAGCCACAACCCTGGCCCTCTCCTGTGGATTTTTAATCCCAACAGTAGATTCGACTTCGTGTTTAATTCACCAATACAGCATAAATTATAATAAATCATCACTATAGTTGTTAGTAATGGTAAGTGAAGAGAGACTTAAACTGAACTGCAACATATCAAAATTGGGGGAGGGACAGGTGTCCTAAGTGAACCCCACAGTATGCTACTTATTAAAATATTATTAAAATTATTTGTGAAAAAAAGAACCTATAAATTCATAGTGATATTTTGAAAAACTCCCAAAAGGGGTGGGAGAGGAGGAGATAAAAGTCTTATCTATAGAATGCCAGCTTTAAAAATGTAGAGTGAATGATAAAATTATGTACTATCTATTTTGCAACACAAATATAATAATGGTTCCAGGCAGGGATCATCAATGGACACTGATACCATTGGGTAAATGCTGTTGCTAAGCAATATATTCACATGATCTTCAAGTGCTACCCCTAAGATTTCTTATTAATTACAGTCATTACAGGTTTCTTTATAATGAAGAGATCTATCAGACACTACCTTAAACAAGTAACTAAATTAAGCATGATCAATAATGAACAAAGAACGTGAGTGTTCTTGCCAAATGTGTAGCATGAGTCTAATTATCCAGGAAAAGAAAATTAAGAAATGTGCAGATTACTGGTCATTCTATCAGAAACCTGACCTGGATGCTTCAAAAGTGTTAACATTGTGAGAGACAAAAGTAATTAAAAATAAAATCAAAATAAAACCACAGGAGCTGTTTGGTTTAAAGAAGACTTAAGAGGCCTAAAGCCCAAATAGAGTGTATGACGATTCTTTACTGACAATTTCAAATATTTCACTAAGGATATTTTTTGGGGGAGACAACTGGCAAAAGTTGAGCATGGACTTAATGTTAGATAATATAATAAAACCACTGCAAGGAAGATGATAAGCTGGAACTAGGCTTGCTGTTTCAAGCTAGGGTCAAGAGCAAAGCTCCTTAAACACTCCAGGAAGCTTAACACACACACACACACACACACACACACACACACACCTACTGCCCCAGCTAGAGATAAGGATTTAATCCAATGGTTTAAGGAGGCTGGCTTTGGATAAGGTGATGGCCTTAAGACCAAACTAACACCGCATCTGGTCACCTGGTGGACCTCTGGTTATGTGGCACCTCCAATATCACAAGGAGAGCCATGATAAGACCTGGTTCTGGTTTTGGGACCCATGGAGCCCACCCTTAATCAGAGGTGGAGAGCCTAAAGGAGAGAAGAAAATTGAAACCAAATCTCTTGTTCAAAATGAACATTTAACCAAACTTTCAGGAAAACACTTATTTTTATTTTTATTTTTAAATTCACCAAGGAACCATTATGTGTCAGGCTGCAAGAGAGGAGATACACAGAAAGGAAAAAGAAGCATCTCTGCCTCATGAGCTTGCAATCTACTAGGTAAGGCAGATGACACATGAATATTTAAAGATATACTGTGATAAGTGATACTGAGGAAAAGAACAAGGTGCGTAAGAGAGGCAAAGAAAGAGGAAAATAACTTTCCAGGAAGATGGATAGTTGCCTACAAAAGTCCTGAACAAACAAATCAAAAACATAGTAAGTTCAAAAGACACCACAGTTAATGTGGTACAGGGTAGGAAGCCAAACGGAGAATGAAAGAGCTGGACAGGAACCAAATGGTGACAAGACTTCTTGGCCTGTAAAGGAATTATATTTAAACTTAAATGCAATGGAAATCTGTGGAAGAACCTGAAGCAGAAGAAGGGCATGGTTCCCTCTCTGGCAATTAGTATTCTCTGAAATTATCTTACTAGTTTACTTGTTCTCCATTGACTAGAATATAAGATCTCAGCAGAAATTTCTCTTCTTATTTACTTATTTACTGCTTCATCCTGGAATATTGTAGGGGCTGAATACTATTTTTAAATAATTTATTTTTAATTGTGCTACAGTTATGCAAAATATAGAAAAGTTTTTAAGACCCTGAGTCCCCAATGTTCACTCCCTGGCATATATGTAGAGATGTTTTTGCACACAAACAGAAGAGTGAAACACAAATATTCACTAAAAAATCACTTATGAAAATAAGAAATAAGAAGTCACTTGCATGCTGATCAACAGAAAAACAAGTAAATTATCACATCTCTATTTGATATCACATTATACAACAATTTAAATGAATAAACTAGAGCTACTTGTATCAACATGAACAAATATCAAAGACATATTGGGCTGGTGCTGTAGCTCAGTGGTAGAGCACTTGCCTAGCATGTGTGAGGCACTGAGTTCGATCCTCAGCACCACATAAAAATAAATAAATAAAAATAAAGATATTGTGTTATCTACATCTAAAAAGAATTTTTTTAAATGTTAACTAGAACAAGCTGCAGTCTAATACCATCTGTGTACTCTATGTAAAAAAACTGGTAAGTTTTTTAAAACAATATGAAATATTATTTATTGATTCAAATATGGAATAAAAATGTAAAATATGCATGAGAAAAATAAATATCAAATTTATATTAGTAGTCACCTGTAGAAAGTAAGGGAGAAAATGGCATTAGGGAAAAGTATAGAGGAGGTTTCAATTCTAACAATAAATTTTATTTCTTTATAAGAACAACTAGGGAATGAGAAGGTGGCTCTCCTGAGGATGGAATGTCCTGTGTGGTGTCCTAGGAGGCTGATCAGCATTTCTCCAGAATGGTATGGATTGCAGCAAACTCATTCATGTGTCACCTAGCCATCTTTCTATTCCCAAGGCTAGTGAGCAGGTTATTAGTGTTTTGCTCCTAAGTCTGTATCTAGCTGCTGATCTGAATCCTTGCTCCAAGATATACTACTTTCTGGTAGCATCCCTCACTTTCCACGGTCCCTAGTCCTTGGACAAGTTGTTTCTGACTATGTCCATGGAGATGCATGGCACCAAGTTGCCAAGGCAGACATTTTGACTCTCTCAGCATTATTTGCTGAGCTTTGTTATTTCAACTATCACAGAACTGTAGAAGTTCTAACCTTTCTGGCTTAGTACCTGAAGAACTGACTGGGCACCTCTTTACCTCTGCTTTGTCATGCCATTCAACTGACAGAAGGAGGAAACAACAGAGACATCCACTGTTGAGACAAACCTCTTCTCCCCTCATGTACTTATTTTCATAATTTAATTTTTGAGTAAAAGTTTGAGATTAATTGTATCTAAGAAATTATGAGACTCAAGCAACTCATTGAGACCATGGCTCTATATAAACTATTAAAAAAAAAAGTATTGGGGGTGTGGCTCGGTGGTTGAGCACCCCAGGATTCAATCCCAGATGCCAAAAAAAAAAAAAAGAGAGAGACAAGGGAGTGCAATAGAGAGACTGATTTCTGTCTTCCACCGGCGCTGGATTGGTGTAAGCCTCTCCCTCGCCCAGCCTAGGTCTGACCCAGCTTCCACCCCTGCGTGGAACTGTGTGGCCGCTCATTCCCCTGGAGATGCTGCAGTGATGGGGGCCTTAGCAGGTAGTGCAGCCTACTTCCAGAGGGACAGTATGTTCTGGTTCACAGTCATCACCCTCTCCTTTGGCTACTACAAGTGTGTTGTCCTCTGGCCTCAGAGTGTTCCTTATCAGAGCCTTGGACCCCTGGGCTACTTTACTCAGTATTTGGTGAACCACCATCACACCCTCCTGAATAATGGGTATTGGCTTGCCTGGCTGATTCAGGGGGAGAGTCCTTATATGCCATGGTATTGTGCAACCTCTCCAGTAGAATCTCGCTTCCCCCACTGGGGGGCTTGAGGCAGAGAGCAAGAGGAGCCGTCCTGGAGCTTGGTTTAAAGGTATAAAGGAATTACAGACAATCGGGCTCAACTACTCTGGTTCTTGCAGACTTTCCTCTTTGGGATAGCATCTCTCTCCATCTTGATTGCTTACAGGCCAAAGTGGAAAAAATACAGTTAAAGGAGATAGCCGAAACTTCCTCTCCACTTTTACATTCAGACTCTCTTTTGGGGGGTGCTAAGTTTACTTGATGATCTTTCTACATTCTAAAAGTGCCTGTCCTACAAAGGTATTTAAGACCCTCTCAATGTTCATTTTTTTTCCATATGCTCTGGTTGAGCTTGTGTAGACTAGTTGTTACCTAAGAAAGAAATTAGAAGAAAAAAAAAAAAAAACTCTGGCTTTTCAAGTTCTGCAGAAAACTTGAATGGCAGCAGATTTGCAGCCTCCCCCTCTGAGGCCCTTGGCTGTGCTGGTCCTCTCTGTCTTCAGGGCTGAAACGAGTACTAGATTTGCTTGCTGGTGAGCCTGTGCTCCCTGTTTCTGAGTAAAACATCTCTTCTAATTTTTTTCTCACCTTTCTGAACCAAAATGAAATGACACTTCCATAATATATTTGTTAGGCACCTGTGAGCCAGGATCTTATCTCCTCAATTAAGCAGTTGTGTAAAGGCCCAAAGGACCTGCCAAGAACCAAGAGCAGAGGACCAGGGCACGGTCTCCCTGATGTTGCCAGCCAGCAGTGATCCTTCCTTGCACACAGCCCCAGGGACACAGTGCTCTGTGGTAGGCAGGTAGCCACTGCTAGATTGCCCCTTCAATTCAGGGCCACAACTCAGGCAGCTGTCCTTTTCCCTGGGGCACCTGTTCCCACCTGTGCATCAGCAGTGGTTCTCCTCCAGTGTTATTGACAGAGGAGGGAAGCACTTCACTTTCTACTTGTTCTGTATCATTATTCCCTGTACTTCATCTCCTAGAACAGTACAGGATGCCT